CATGCTCGTCCTCTCCTGGAGCGGCCCGAACGGCCGGCTGTGGGCGTCGTGAGGGTGCGGGCTGGCCAGGAGCAGGCGTGTCATCAGCGGCATGCTCTTCAGGCCGTCCACGCATCGTTCGAAGAACAGGTGGTCGAGGTTGGCCGTCAGCCTCTGGAGCACATCGTCCTCGGGCCCGGGCATCCGGCTGCAGAGGTGGATCCGGTGCAGGTCTCGGCCGTTGAAGTGGGCGGTCCACCCGGACCGACGGAGCCAGGTCGTCGTCTCGTGCCTCAGGATGCCCTCCGCGAGCACCCTCTGCAGCTCCTCCTGCCGGCTCTGCTCGTGCTCCCACTGCTCCTTGATCTCGGCGATCAGCCTGGAATCCTGCTGCTGTCTGCCGCCGCCGCCGCCGCGTGCCTCCTCGGCATCCATGTCTGAATCCACCTCCTCTCCAGCATTGGCCTGGGGCGGCCCGGTGGTGACGCAGAAGTAGTGGATAGCGCTGCCGGGCACGGTGAAGAAGGTCTGCAGCTTTACCTTGGACCAGTGGGTTGGATCGGCCCGGCTGACCTGCCACTGATGCTCTTCCTTACAGTGGACCTTCAGCCTCTTCCGGCTCGTGGACATAAACCGGCACTGCTGGAAGTCTTGGCACGCAAGGCCCTTGTGAACGGTGAGGCCGTCAATAGCTGCAGTTGGATTGGCGGGTCCATATTGGAAATTGGCATTCGAAGGGCGGTCCAGCTCCAGTATGTTGTATTCGGCAATAATTGTATTCCGGACTTGGCAGCTAAGGTCGGCATGTTGTCTGGATAGGTGGCTCGAGAGGGCTGATACAGCAAAGCCGTGGATCTTGCAAATAAGTACCTTATGCTCGGGGGAATAGACAAGCCAATCTGCTGTTGCCATTTCGAAGGAGGAGAATCTCTCTTTTCCCCCTCTCTTTCTCTTCCTCTCTCTCTCTCTCCTTCTCTTTCTCTTTCTCTTCCTCTCTCTTTCTTCTTCTTTTCCTCTCTCTTCCTCCTTCCCTTTTCCTCTCTCTCTCTCTCTCTCTTTCTACTTTCTCCAACTTCTATCTCTTTCTTTTCTTCAACAGGGGAGGAGGACGAGCAGGAGGGTTACCTTCCAGCCAATCAGAGCAGGCGGCCTTGGGGTCGGGGAGAGGGAAAGTGGGGACAGAGGAGGCAGGGTTGGGCAGGGTTAGATATGCATAACCCTGGGGCGAAGACGACGGGCTCGACGTGAGGGTTAAGTTGGGTTAGGGAATGGCGCGCGCGCAACAGCGTCAATTGGCAGTGCAGCCGGCGTCAGGAGGAGCGGCCGCGCGCGCACGAAGGGACGGCGGTGTTTTCCTGGCAATAGCCACGGCGAGAAAGGAGGGAAATTGAGGAAGCAGGCGGCGGCGGTATTTGGCGACGGGTATTTGGGCCCCCCTGTTTTGGCCCCCACGCTAGAATGGGTGGGCAGAATCGGCTCACCGCCCGGTATCTGACGCCGGATACCGCGAACCTAGTCGGTTAGGGACCTATTAAAGGTCTATTTAATTAAATAGTATTAGCTAAAAAAGCTATCTATTTTACCCAGCTATCTAATTTATCCAGACTCTAAATCTAACTCTTTTTAACCCTTCTAATATAATACTATTACAGTTATTACAGCTTTATTTCTAGATGGGTTATATATTCTTAATATTCTCTACTTACTTTCTTACTTAATTTTTAGAGGTTATAATAGGGTATAAAAGAACTAATAAAAAGAAGCCAATTCTATAACTAGAAATAAGAAGTATCTTAACTAAAAGAATAAAATAGATATACCTAATCTCTAGAAGTAATAGTACTTTTTAGCTACTTTAAGAATTCTTTAATTTATAGTATTAACTACTAGCTATAAAAATAATAGAGAGATATAAGAGATTATAAGAAAAGTTTTAACTTTCTAATATTAGGGTATTATTAGAACTTTGATATTAACTGTATATATATAATAGTTAACTGCTAAATTTATACTAATAAGACTATTTAATTAAATAATAGAGAATAACTTAATACTAATAAAAACTGAATTAATAAGGTCTTTTCTATATAAAGAGAGATAGAAACTTTAAATAATAAAATATTATAGCAGTAAAGCTAATACTTCTTTAATATTTAAGTATAAAGTACTATTTTAATAAAGTATTATAAGAAAAAGAAAGGTTAACCTTAAATAATATCTTAAACTTAAAATTAAATAACCTAGAAAGCTAGTTAATAAGCTAAGTAGCTTCTAGCCTGATATTAGCTATTAAGGTTTTTAATAGTAATTTAACTAGGTGGGGAGATAATTAGCTGGATATAAAAGAATATTAGCTATAAGTAGGTTATAATTATTCTTATAATTAAACTTTAGCTTATTATAAAAGACTAAGTAATTATAATTATAATAGTTAGATTATACTATTAGTAGAAATATAAAGAGTGCTAAATATAGCTTTTTATTTTAAAAAACAATATATATAATAATTAAGACTTTTCTAATAATAATAACTGCTTATTATCTTCTCCTTTTATACCTTCTTTTTATAAATCTTTAAGATTTTTTAATAGTTCTTCTATAAATTTTAATATTATTACCTTAAAAGGCTACTATAAAACCTACTTATTACTAGGGGATCCTGTAATAATTATAGATTTTTAGTAGTAGAAGAGTTAAGTATAAGTCTATCTAATACTACTTATAATAATAATAACCTTACTCCAGTTAAATTAGAGAATTTTAAGAGTATTCTATCTAACCTATTTTTATCTTCTTAAATTATACTAAAAGATATTACTATATTTAGTAACTCTACTAGATTATTTAATTAGATAGATATAAATAATATAGTTCTTAGTTAGATAGCTAAAATTTCAGCTAGATTAAATTAGTATAAGAAGAATATAAAAAAATCTCAAATATAATTTCAATTCTAGCTGCTAAGTATATTAAGAGCTTAGCTTTATAGATTTCTTTTAATAATAAATTTAATAGCTATAATATTATAAGGTTTCTATAATATTATAATTATTATATAATAATTAATATATAAATAAAGATAACTAAAATAACTATATTAACTTCTATATAATAGAAATTATTACCTTATAATTAGAAGGTATATAAAGTTACTACTTTAAAAATAAGCCTAGATAAATTTTTTAAATAAGTTTAAATACTAAATAAAAACTAAAAGCAGTTATTTAATAACTAGCTTTTTATAAAAATATAGAATAGTTAGATAAAATTATATTATTATTATAAATTAGCTTAATAATTATATATTTCTTTATAAAAGATTAACTTAAACTATTAGAAATAGTTAATTATCTAATTAAAGATAATCTTTAATATTATACCTATTAGTATCTAGTAAAGCTTTTATAAGAGCCTAAATAAGTTATCTAAAGCTATTAGATCTATAAAATACCTCTTTTTATATAAGAAGATTAAGTTTTTTATTAATAGATATATTAGTATTTAAGCTAGAAGTATTCTATATTAACCTTTTTTTTTAAAGCCTAAACTTATAAAACTTAGAGGAATACTTAAATAAACTAAGCTCCTCTAATAATACCCCTTTTATAATTCTTAAGAAAGAGTAAAATAAGATTACTGGAATTAATTAAATAATCTAGCTTATCTAAGAATTAAATAGCTAAAGATTAATATATCCTAGAGTAATAAGCAGGTAATTTAGATATAAAAGTAAATTAACTACTATTTAATAAGAAATATAAATACCTTAATAAGATAAGAATTAAATATATACTCAGTATTATTTAATTACTCAGTAGATAATAAGAATATTTATATAAATACCTTTATAAGTAGTTATAGCTATTTCTATTATAGTAAGATTAAGTATAATATAAAGTTATACTTTAATTTCTAATTTAACTAGAAGAATAGCTATACTAATTATAATATCTATAGTAGTTACACCTAAATTAAAAGAACTAAGAATTAACTAATTCTATTTATTCTAATAATTTAATTCCACTAAAAATATAAAGAGGTTATATATAGATAGGTACATAGCCAGATAAGTACAAAAGATACTATAGAAGCTATATTAAGATTAAAGCTTATAGACTTTAATTATACCTACTACTCTACTCTATCTATAGTATATCTATTACAAAACCCTAGTACTAGGCTAGTATAACCCTCATAAAGTAATATCAGAATAATATCGGAATAATATTAGCTTAGTTTAGTATATTGGGGTAGTCCGGGACCTACCTATATTATAACTATCCTCCCCTCTCTAAGGCACTATTCTTAGCAGCTAAAGCTATTATATATAAGCATAATAGGCTTGCTTTTCCTGTAAATCCCCCGAGAAAGTAGGATATACAGCTGATATTGCTAGATAGCCATTGCTAGCTATAGTAGTGCAGCGCCTAGCATGCATAATCCATATTATTTTATTTACCTTCCTTTTCAAGTTAGATTGCTATTTCTTTTCCTTTTCTTTATACTTGCAATACTCCTACTTTTCGTGCCTATTACCCTTATCTTTACCTACAACTCGCCCGCAACTGCCGATTTTTTTATCCTCCACACTTTCGCCTTGCCTCTTTTCATCGTATTTTCTTCCTGCATTCATCCACTCTTCCCCTAGTCTTTGCCCGAGATGCCGCCTTCCCATACTACCGCCTGTAAGTTAAAAAACAAGACCAAGACCAAATATTTTTCCCAAACCACTATCTTCCCTACTAACAAAGATTAGTGCATATATTATTTCAACTCGGCGGTAAAGGGCTCTAAGAATGCCCTAAAGATAAAGGTTTGCGCCCGTCTCCCTATTGAGATTATAGCGATTGACTGTAGTTTTGGTGATGCTTCGTCGGCCTGTTGCCAACAGTATATTAAGTGTAGCAATACCTGCACCCTATAAGTTATTATACTCTTCTTCCTCTCTTATCCCTCTAACTTTCCCCTGGGGTTTATCTGCTAATCTCCTGTATAAAGCCCTTCTACTGGTCTTAATGGTAATATGCGGGATCTCAACTAGTTGTTGACTTATATCAATACTCTTATCTCTGCCAATATCCCTAATGATAACGCTAACACCGCCGTAGCCAAGAAGGGGGATAAGTATCCCTACCTTTTTGCCCGTCTTATGCATACTCGTCTCGTAGGTCTCGCCACCGACTTGGGTGATACTTTCTATACTATGGAGATGGTATACCATCGGGCCTACAGCCTAACTGAGTCTTAGAAGTCCGCGGGGGTAAGGTTTCCATCTAGTAGTAATTCTCTTAGTTTTTACTGATATTTTTCTTATTATAGGATGGTCCTGCTGCCTACTGCTTTTATATTCTAGAGTACTGCTATCTACTAGTTGCCTAGTATCCCAGCCCCGCTGCCTCTGCTATATATTATATATTCCCAATAGGTTTATTAGGTTTTTACTAATACTTCCTTCTATATCTTAGAGTGTAGCTATTTATGCTTATTAGGAGTAGATATAGATTTTTTGCTTATAGTATAAGGATATTAGTTGGGTAGTATGGAATATTGTTCTTTATACTTTCTAGGAGGGTCTTATTGAGATTCTTAATTTTAATAAGCATGCTAATATTATAATAGTAGAAAAGCTCCTCTTAGAGGTTTCTAAGTTTATTGCTAACTAATTAGTAATATTTTATAGGCTTAACGCCCTAAATTCTTTAGTCTCCTTATATAGAATAATGCCCTTTAGGGTTTTTTTATTTATTTAATTAACTACTAGCCTGCTATTTCTATAGCCGCCCCCTCTTTTAGAGTCTAACTTTTTTTTTATAATTTAATAACTATTTATTTTTCTTTTATTTTTCTTTTATAAGACTTTTACTATATATCTAGATTATATTAAAAGTATTTATTATATTCTCTTCTATTAC